AGAGAGCAGTTAGTGTTCAGGGCAGTGAGCAGGGGGAAAGTGTCTTATCAAAACTGCCACAGTGGGTTTGGTCACACTTAAAACCTTCCTTGCACTTTAGCTCCAGCACCTTGGAGGACAGAGGAAGCAACAGTTTTCCTACTAAGTGCAATTAATAGCTAAAAACATCAGCAGTCACAACAGCTGAGAGTCTCAGTGCCAGAACAGCTTTTCAAATCCAAAGTCTGATACTGTGATGCATCTAGAGGGGAGATTCCTGCCAAAAATATCCCTCTGGTTGTGTCAAACCTTGTACAAATGAGACAGGATCCTTCCCAGTGACCAGAGGGCTCCTTCAGACATGATTAGACTCTTGTATGCAGCTACTGACAGTGTTTCTCAGGTCTGAGAGCATCCTGCTGTAGAGACATTCTTAGACAGCAAGAGCAGCCAAGTGCTGTGATTTTTCATTAGGTTTAGCAGTCCAAGTGTCATTCAGCACTCTCTCATTTCCATAAGAAATGACTGCAGAGAGGAAGAAAAAAAAACCCACCACCCCACTGCTTATAGTGGTTCCAGAACCCCCTGGGGTTCCAGGGGCAGATATTATGGACCATGACCTTTTCCATCACCTTTTGCACACCTCTCACACAGCTCTTGTTTCCAGCATCATATTTCTCAGTTTTCTGGTCATTTCTTACTATGACTAAGGAGTGAAAGTCCTTTCGGCAAAGAAATTTTAGTACTTAGGGAAGAAATAGGATCAGTTGTCACTGACAATGAAACCAAAGGAAAACTACCCAGCTTGGTTGGTAGACAATGAACATCAGATCCAGGATCTGCATCACCAAGCCATGGAATTAGTAAAGCCATAAGAAAAAAAATGTGTAACAAAATAAAAGCTGCAGTCTTGTTCCAAATAAAAGCCCTTTTGCACTCACACCAGCTCAGCATGTCAGATGGTTCACAACTTATTGTTCAACTAGTGTCCCTCTACCTCTAACACAGTTGCAGTATCTGGAATATCTTTGCTTTTTATCCTGTAAACTGAAGACAAACAGCCTTGTTTTCTTGGCAAGCAGCTTGTTAGATTTTCAAAGTGACAGCTCATTACTTTGAAAGCACATTTCAGAAGGCAGACAAATTCCCACTCTGCACATCCATGGTTTGCAGAGTGAAGAATTTCCTTCCATTTGTCAGCAGACACCACAGTAGGAGCTTCAAAGGAAGCTGCTGAAGAAGGAGCTATTAGTTTCACAGCAAAGTTATCTAATGAGACATAAATGAGTGTCTATTTTGCTACTGGCAGGTAAAGTAACTGAGGAATAGACTTAATCAGATTTCGAGTAGAGTCACAAATAATTCTTCTTTGTTGCTGCTACTAATCTGAATTAGTAGGATTTAATGAACTAGAAAGGCAAATTACATTTTCAGAGGCAATTTACAAATTCAGTAGGTCTAACATCCTCCAACTGGTGAACTAGCAATGTTTTAATACACATGTGTAGGAAAAAAGAAAAAGTCTCTCAGTCTGTCAAAAACGATTGTATTTGTGCAAGAGTTAGGGATTATATAGCCAGTTGCTTGCTATTTTCTTTCAAAGAAGAAATCTCTTCTGCATTTAGTAGGGCAGCATGCCCTGCCTCTGGAATTTCTATGTGCAGATTATAATCATAATAGAATAGTTTGGGTTGGAAGGACCTTAAAGATCATCTCATTCCAACCTCTTGCCCTGGGCAGGGACATCTCCCCCCAGCCCAGGCTGCTCCAAGCCCATCCAGCCTGGCCTGGAACACTCCCAGGGATGGAGCAGCCACAGCTGCTCTGGGCACCCTGTGCCAGAGCCTCAGCACCTCACAGGGAACAATTCCTTCCCAGTATCTACCCTAACCCTACTCTCTGTCAGTGTGACACCATTCCCCCTTGTCCTGTCACTACATCCTTGTTCTGTTGACTCCTCACAGTCAATCTGTGCCTCCCTTGTACTTTATTGCAACTGCAGAAGAGTGAGTGCATAAAATGATCCATCAACACCTCTGCTGTGGACTCACAAACCCCACTGTCACTCTGATTTCTGACCAAATCAGCAGGCCTAGATCCAGCACTAGAGCCATGCCATGGGCCTCCTTGGAAACTAGCTCAGGGGTGAGGCAGGGAAATGGACAGGAGGGATGGGGAGAGAAAAGAGTTTCACATTTCTTATCATTTCCCAGGAGAAAGAGATGCCAGTTAAGAGTGAGAAGCAGCAGTATTACATCAAATACATACAAAGAGGCTTCGTCCAGGAAGAGAGGCGAGAGGCCTCAGCAGAGCTGGGTAAAGATCAGGAGGGTTAGAGAAAATCAGCTCTTCCTCCTCCTCCAAGGCAGCCAGACTCTTTAACAGGTCCGGAGGGAGCAGAGGGGAGCTCTTGGGGTCCTAGTGACAGAAATGAGCACAGTGAGACAACAGAAGGCAGAAAGGAGAACAGCCAGAGACAGCCAGGACAGGCTGAGCCAGAGCAGGACGGAGAGAACAGCAAGAGGGAGGCAGAAAGCTGCATGCAGAGCCCGAGGGGACCAAGTGCTGCTGCAGAGGTGTGCTGAGGCACACAGAGCAAGCTCTGAGCAGAAAACACAGCCAGCCACGTGGCCTAAGGTGCGTGGGGAGTACCAGGCAGTGAGCCTGAATTAGCAGAGTGTGTGCTTCCCACTGCATCCATGCCACAGGCTGAACCTCCTTCCACAATCAAGGACAAGCAACACCAAATCTTAAATCACTCTTCCTCAGCTGACCTGTGAGTAATTTAGGTTTCAAATCAAATTATATCTGCATCTTCTTTGCTCTGTTTGTGGAGTTTGAATCCCATACTTATTTCCATTGGTGACAGCTGTTATACCAATGTACAGCTGACCAGACCACAGGGCCACAAATCCCTGCACAGTGCTGGTCACACTTCTGTGAGGGATGCTCAAAGCACAAACATCACAGCACAGCTTCTCTCCATACCAGCACTAAGGCAAAGTTTCCCTTTCAGGGATGAGAGCAAGGCTTTGACCCTGTCTCCATGTAAAAACCACAACCTGACATCAGGGGAGGGACAAGACTCCTGCACATTGTCTGGCTTTTCTCTTGGAAGGATGAGCCAAGTGATGTCAGCTGACTTCCAAGCCCTGAGTGCATTTACAGAGGCATACCCAGCCAAAGGTTTAACTGTTTGAGTGTCCTTAGAAACATCACCAAAAGCACTCAGACAACTCCAGGCCTGTTAATAAATGACAGAGATGACTAGTTTCACAAACAGCAACATGAAGCACCACAGCATGAACAGAAGCAAAGTATTCCATTAGTGCAACCAGGAGCTAAGGAAGTCATCCAGCTCTCAGTGTGGGGGGATTTTCAGGAAAAACAAACAAAGTGATACAAGGCAAGACTGCTGCTACCAGCCTCCATTTCCAGCTTCGATCTGCAGCCTCAGTCAGCCAACTCACCCAAGGTACCACAGGGGTGTTAAGAGTTCACCCAAAGGGCAACCATTCAACTGCAATTATCTGCTTGGCTTTTAGGGTTTTCATCAGTTGCCAGACAAGAATCTTCCCCCAAACTATCAGCTCTCATATTTCTCTACCTGACAGAGAGTGCAAAGATGAATGCCACATCTACATTGACCAAGACTTACACCTGCTTGAAACCAAACCTCCAGGAGCTGAATCCCACACACAGCCAGCTGAAATGGAGAATTCATCAACGCACTGATACCCAACTCCCTTCTGCATAAACCA